CCAAATCGCGGCACCTACTCCTAAATGGCCAAATCGCGGCACCTACTCCTTATTGGCCAAATCGCGGCACCTACTCCTAAATGGCCAAATCACGGCACCTACTCCTAAATGGCCAAATCGTGGCACCTTGTCGCCAAGATCGCGTAAGCACAGCTCGGCCAGATGCTTCTCCTTCCGTGCAGCAGGGGATCCCCTATAGCTCTACCTTAAGAACCCAAAACCTACTTTTTTGTAGGGTCTCTATAAATCCCATAGTGGGGTTTATATTATAAACCCCACTATGGGATTTATAGAGACCCTACAAAAAAGTAGGTTTTGGGTTCTTAACCTACAACAAAATGGGTTTTGGGTTCTTAAGGTAGGCACTTCATCTGCACTCCTGCTTCAGCGCTTGAAAGAGATCCGCTAAGCAGGCAGCGCTCAAGGTCTCAGAGAAGTCTACCTGGCAGCATTGTGGCTGAGGCAAAGAGTGGCAGCTGCTGGGCATCGGGGGATAAAGAATAGACGGTACTGTCATTGCAAAAACGGCAGGTGTATGAGAAGTAGCTGCAAGCTACTGCCCGGTATGCTCAACTCAAGCTCGGGATCTAGACTTACATGGCATCAGGACATGTGGAGTGAGAAAGTACGAACAGTGACTCGCTTTAAGACTGTAAACATCACAGCCGTGGAAACAGACAACAAACAGAGCAGTCAGCCTAAGACACGTTGGAGCGATCGAGCTCTACCAGCAGCGCGGCGCTACACGACCACGCGACACCCCTCGGCACCTCGTCAGCAGAAGCACCAACCCCCCCCCCCCACGAACATACACCAAAACAAAGGTACGATCCTCGAATCAAGGAGAAACATGATTTAAACGTACCTTGCGTGCCGACCGGCAGTACTACTCACTACGCTTCGGCAAGCACCCTCCAAGCAGAGCCAAACCCGCCAGAGTCCACTGAGACGTCGCGCTCCGGGTGAAAGTCGCACAGCCGAAGCTCTTGCCTTTGAAGTCTCTTGGAGTCCATGGGACATCAAGACATGTCCCGTCGTCTGCTGGGGCCCAGGCTTCTTCAGCACCTCTGCTCTGTGCCACGGTTCGTGCTTATCCCAACTCCGGACATGCATGATTGGGCTGATTGGGAAGTCCTATCATTGTATTGCAGGGCTATCAGCGTGGCTTGCATTATACCAACAGTCGCACAGTCTCCTGAGTGGGAGCAGTAACCGGAATGCCAATGGTAGCGCAGATAGTCAAGCCACATCCTCTGCCAAGAGGTCGGCAGCCAGGTCATTCCATCCTCTCAGCTTGAAGCTGCGCAGCTTCTCCTGATGATGCGCGTCATTGCTATGCTACGCCTGGTGCAATATGACACGGCAAGCTCGTCCTCTTGGGTCCAGCGCACTGCCAAGTCGACCACTTGCGACTCCAGGCTTAATCGGAGACTCGGCATGGCAGCTCGCCGTTGGCGCCATCTAAAGAAACTAATCAAACTAATCCCTGAGCTGGATGCAACAATGTCTGCCACACACCAACGTATGAATCTCATCAGTGGTGCTTCTCCAACCAATCAGCAGCTCTAGGCTCAATTCATGTCTTTCAACAGCTGGAGGCATAAACGGCGTCATGAACGGGATGTTGCTGGCAATTGCCCTGTAAGAAACACAGGCTACACCCAGCAGGAACACCGGACCATTTTTCTAAGAGAACAAGCCAGCTGCAAGCAAGCAAACCAGAGGGCAAACCCTCATCACACCTGCCTGCTCGATGGACTGGTAGTATTCCTTGCAGAACCGAAGTCTTTGTTTCTCGAGTTTATGTTTCACCCCCTCACACCCAACACTGAAACCCCAAACGCGGAAAACCTCAAAGCAGAAACCATTAAACTCGAAACCATGAAATAAGGCCTTAAAGCAGAAAATTAAATATGCTTGCACTGCTCTAAGCCTGGACCTTAACATCTGAAAACCTTGCTCCCGACAAAATCATACACATACACACCCCCAAAAAACGCAACACTTCAACAACCCTAAGATATATGATATAACCCGCCCCCCGCCCCCAACAAAAAAAATAATAATAATAATACGAATAATAATAATAATAACAATAATAATAATAAACTAAAACCACCCTGTCTTCTTCCAGGTCTCGTATTCTGCCAGTCGTGCTTGCTTGCTGAGAACCGTGGCCTGGGCCGAGGCTTGCAGATCTGGGCTCCAGATGTGGTTTGGGGTTTAGGGTTTAGGGTTTCGGGTTTAGGGTTTAGGGTTTAGGGTTTTGGGTTTAGGGTTTGGGGTTAGAGGCTTGGGGGTTTGGGGTTTAGGGACTTAGGGTTTAGGGGTTTAGGGTTTCGGGAATGAGGGTTAAAGTTTTTGTGCTGTTGGGGGCCCCTTTTCTTAGAGGGTTTAGGGGTTTAGGGTTTAGGGGATGAGGGTTTAGGGGTTTAGGGTTTAGGGAATTAGGGTTTAGGGGTTTAGGGTTTGGTATGAGATAACATATACCGGAAGACGAGCTTCTATACCAATACTATCGTGTGCCATTGCAAAGGCATACCACATAGTATATGCGGTTATATGTACACATAAGTGTGTAGAACTGGTAGCAAAAAAATACATTATATAATACATATATATGTGTATATATATATATATATCTGTTATACACAATTTTAAGGTTACACGAATGCATGGCATGTCATACATATGTGCTCGAACGCAGCATAGGTATACACGCATGCGGTATCGTGTGTGCTTCTGCTCTGTCAAATCTGTCAACCGATCACACCGCCAGAATGCTACGTTAGGCACCGAGATCTGCACTTGCTGGGCCAGCTTCAGCCGGTCAGCCGTCTTCATGGAGACGGCTTGCAAACAGTCCTGGCAAGCTGGCTGAATCGTAGAAAGCCTAAGCTCTGAACCTGCACAACCCTAAAGGCCTAGACTCGGCCGGAAAGCCTCAACACCCTCTGATCACATGCCCTCCCCTTGGGGCAGCTGAAGCGCTCCATGCAGAGCTCCTGCGCTAAGTACTCAGCTTCCGCACAGCGAGACCCGTACCTGGCCGTCTATGAAACCTACGGTATACCACACCGTTGTCTAAATTACTGTCTTCCATTGGGTTGTATCACATCATAGTACCATACCATAGCACAGTATGCTTAATTTTACCAACGAGTTCATGCACGATGAGAGAATGCAACTATCATACAGTTGTTTCTACACCGCAACAAAGGAACCGGTAGATGTACTGGTATGTATGACCTGGTATTGCCTTTGACAACAACAAAAAGGTTCGCTTGGACCCCTACACTGCACTCACCAATACCCGAAAAAATCCTGCTTCCCATTGTCACTAAACCCTAAATCCTAAATCGGTTCCTCCTGGCCGAAACCGGCCTTCTCGCCAATTTGTCGTGCGCTTTCCGCCTCTCCTTTGTTGAAGGAAGGCAATGCGGCCTAGGGTTTTAGAGTGCTTGGTCGTGGCATCAGCAGCTTCTTAGTAGTTTTGGGTTTAGGGCTCCAGGGCGTGAGAACTTCAGGCATTAATTAAGGAGCGTGTCCTGGGCATATTTCGTCACAAGCTGCACGTCGGAGTGGATCTTTCTCGACACCTCTGCGGTAGCAGATCAAGCAACACCAGTGCCCCGGAGCGGAAGCTGCCTCCTTGTGCTGCTTGATGACGGTGTCAAAGCAGACGATGATGTCTTGCTCCAACTCATCAGCCAAAGTGATCGACTGCTCTCCGCGGTTGCGGAAGTTCACCTGCAGGGGAATGGCACGTGAGAGCGAGCCAAACACAGTGCCTCTCGATATAACCCCAAACCCTGCAACTCCACCGCACACCGAAAGATTTCATTCGCTGTCCAAGCTGCGATCATCGCATCAACTGCGGTGTGGAGGGGATTGCCTGCTGCGCGCAGGAACATTGTCACAAGCATTCCCTAAGCTTCAGAACGAGATGGCTTCCTTCCTTCCTTCACTACTGGATCCTTCCCTTTCAGCCGTCCTTTCCTGTCCTGCATCCTCTGGTATTGCGGGAACATTTGTTGGTTCGCAAACCTTGAGTGATGTCGAAAAGAACCGTCGAGTGTTGTTTTGCTGGCTGTTCCACTGGCATTCCAAACTACTGAGGGGTCCAACCTCTAGGCTTCAGAACACGGCATGTGTGACGACTATGAAAGGAGACAAGGGACACCACAGTATCATGTAGGTTTAACCCAAAGAGTTCTCCAGCTTGCAATCCTACGTGTACTGGCTTGGCAACAACTAAATCCTTGCCGACCCAACACTAGATTCGCTGTGACATCCAGGATAACCCGGTTTGGCGTGCTTCCTACATTGAGCTGCTACCCAGCAAAGTCGTGGTGCAAAGCCCCAGAGTTTACCAAAAGAGAGCTCGGGTGTCTGGCTGTTGACCTAAGCTGCAGGAACCGGCCTGGCTCGACCTGGAGATCCCCGCCAAAGCTCAGGAGACTCTCGCCATACTTCCTTTCCAACTCCGCTCGGCTTCGCAGAAGATCTGCCACCTTTTGCAGCAAGCCTCAGCTGCCCCCACGATGCATCCCAAGTCTCAAGTCTAAGCTAGATGCCAGCTGGGTCAGAGAGTGTGCAAGCCATGGTGCCCTGCGAAGGCTCGACCCTCTCTCTCCAGAGAAAATCAAACCTCAGGCGAATTCGGACTTGCAGAAAGCGCACACAGAGAGAGATAGAGAGAGAGAGAGAGAGAGTTCGCTGCACTCTAAACACACCGAGGCGCTTGTCCCACAGGTCTCTGCGGAAGCTCAAGGACTTATCCTCCGGCACCTGCACTCCAATGCTCCAACGCTCAGCAACAGCCACAGAAACACGACGTGTGTGATGTCGCACATGCTTAAGATGAGGTCGAGGACGAGATGGAACAACATGGCTTGAAGATTGTCATCTATGATAATGATACAGACATCACCATCATCATCATCATCATCAGCCTCATTCCAGTCGGCATCATGCAAAGCCACAACTATGCTGGCTGTATGGTGAAGCGTCGCAGCAACAGGATAAGTTGTTGCTGCCGTCGCAGCAGCGGTACATGTGGCTTAGCCCTAGTCGTTGCACTGTCCGATAGTCACCATCACCATCATCATCTACTGGGATTTTCTAGAAAAACTGAGTAGAAGCATCGGAATAAGATCGGAAATAAATGGGTGCCCTGGTGTTTGAAGATGTTGGACCCCGGCCTCGGCAGGCGCCTCCTTCTCCTCTACGCTTTCGGTGCTCTCTACCTGCGAGGCTCACAGCGGATCGCACCCTTCTTCGGGCCTCTCCGGAACCCTCCGGGCCCAAGGGTATATAATTATATAATTATATATATATATATATAGATATATATCCAAATAGTTTTTACTCATTTGATAAATAATAACGCTAAATTTGTTCTATAAGCAAACCCCCCGCCTTCCTCCAAGGCCACTCCGCCTGCGATGTCAGCTCTGGCATGGAGGCGATGGGCCGGTCCGGTGGCGCTTCCGCGGCCTTGGGCGGTTTCAGGTCTCTTCCCAGTGTTCCCAGGCTCCGAGGCCCCCAAGGAATGCGAGACCCACGCAGCTGCTGGCGCATCTTGTGCCATGGCTGAAGCGGACTCGCGCCAGGAGGATCTGGGGACTTTCGCGTTGGGGGGGTTTGTTTGGGGCTCTGGTGCAAGGCAGGACGCCATGCCAGGCTGCCTAGGGGTCGAGTTTTCGTCTTTGCTATACCAATACAATGCTTCGGTACATGCACACCATTACATGATGTTGCGTTGTGAGCGTGGACATCCGTCCTACCGCGGCAATCGGAATCTTCTGTCGCAGACCGACCGACGTCACACTCATGATAATCATCCTGCGAAGCTTGCTGTTACGCAGAACTGCATGACAGCTTGTCTAGGCCTAGGCTGCCTGGTGAAGAAAAGCAGCGGCACAGAACACTAACAGATGCAGTGCGCTGTGCAGCTCCTCTGGACAAACAAGCACTGTGGAATCTCCAACCCACCCGCGCGCAGCTTCTTCTCTTTTTATGCGGCGCAGCCAGCACAGCGTTTTGGCTCGGACCCCTTGCTGCGCAAAGAAATGTTTCTGCCGTCGAATTATGCAAAGTCCCGTCAGCCCCTGCTCCTCCTCCTCCTCTGCGCAACCGGGCATGATGCAACAAATCATTTGGCCACATGAGGTACGAGTACCAGCCCACGCTCTCCATCAAGCAATCTCAGAGTTCGGAAGAATGGCCTCTGCAGTGGAGGAAGACGCTACTGTACCTGGAGACACAGTTGCAAGTAGTTGGTTTCGAAACTCAAGACTGTACTTCGCAAGCATATCCGTGTCTGCCGTGCCATCGCAGCAAGCTTTGTCCAAGGTGTGCACTTGGCATGAACAGTTGGTACAGTGTTGAAGCCAGACCGCTGTGGGAAATGCGGACACAGGCCTCGGCAGTGGCCTCCAGGGCAGCTGCCTCTGCAGCTTCTTCTGCTTCCTGGACGGCTGAAGACTGTCAAAAGCCCACCAACCTCCCTGAGCCCCACTACTCCACTGTTTTGATTATGTGATTATGATCATGAGTATGGTTATGATTACGAAGAGCAGCAGCAGGAGGAGGACTAGGACTAGTTTAGTCCTAGTAGTAGTAGTAGTAGTAGTAGTAGTAGCAGTAGTAGTAGCAGCAGCAGCAGCAGCAGTAGTAGTAGCAGTAGTAGCAGCAGCAGTAGTAGGAGGAAGACTACTGACTACTATACCCGTTGGTACTATGGTTCCCTCAACCCTAAACCCTAAACCCTACATTACCTTCTCTCTGCAGAAATCAGCCGGCTTTTGCTCTGCGCCTCCGCCTCGCGGAGCGCAGCTTCGGCCTTCGTCTCCTCCGGCATGGGCACCTGCTTGAAGCTCTCTCGGAGGCCCGACAAGGTAGGGCTGCGGGCAAGTAGGGCTTTAGCAATTAGGGTGTGTAGGTTGTAGGGTTTAGGGCTAGGGACTTCGGGTTGTGTAGGTTGGTGCTGCCGGGTAGAACGACACAGTCCGCCATCACCGGCATTGTGTGACGGAATGCATCTACAGAGTCAACGTCCCTGACAGCACTGCAGCAGCATGACTTGCCAGGGCAGCATGTCCACGATGAAGCGAGTTCTAGGCTGCCTTTCTGTCAGCTTCACGGCCACATAGTCTAAGCGAATTGGCTTCTGTGCGTCTCTCTGGTTCTGTTGGCTCTGGGCTCAGCTCAGTTGGTACTGGCTTATGCTAGATTCGCTTGTTCTGCAGCCGCCCATCATGACTTGTCGGATTTGTAGCCTGTCTTGCCATCTGTCAGAATATCTCATCAAGTCCTTCTCCAATCCAATCTAGTAGTCTATCGCTTAATAAATCGATTATGCCAACTATGGCACTGTGCCTGCCATGCATGTATCTACACTTGCTGTTACTTTGCCCTTCCAGTAAACTGATGATCATTGACATATGTTTGCATGCCATGCAACATTCACCAGTCCGATGCGATACTTGTGACTGCTCATTCGTTTTTGCGCCACCGGGGAGAGGACTCGTCCGTGCTGCCGTTCTCGTTCTGCCGACATCGACTTACAGCACAACAAGCAGAATCCGGTTCCAGGGCTGTCAGGTGGATGGATAGGTCAGTACACTCTATGCATCGGTGCAAGTGTATGTATGCAATTACGTATACATGTGAGAGTGTATGTATGTGCCTGTACATACACACATACACACCTACCTACATACATACCTATGTATATTTATATATATACTATTATATATATATATATATATATATTATTAGAGTCTGCGCTCGCATATTCCGCAGTCGCAGTATTCGTCCAGCCTTGGCCAAGCAAGAAGCGAGCAAATCATCAACACTCCATGAAAGTAGACATCATTGAACACATGTCCTTCCGCAGTCAAGCGCTTGAAATAATATCATCTTTTAAGGGACCCTATAACAGATCCCTTTTAAAGGAACCCTTGTACATTATGTAAGGCAAAGCAAACTAGTGGAATTGCCTTGCACACTTACACTTGCAGTAGTTTCCAATTTCAGGCTTACTAATCGTTTTGATTGCTATGGGTAACATCGGCATGGCAGACTGTTCCAGGCTTGGCCCAACCAGCCAGAAGCAAAACCTACTCTGATCAGTATAACAAAACCATATACAACCCCAGGCCCCAGAAACCAAAAACAACTGAATACCTTGGTTACCTTGGGCCAAATGCACTTCATCCGGGACGTGCCTCGGGCGCGGCTGTGGCCCAGGGCACTTCGGAGAAGCACCTAGAGAGATCCAAGCGTGGGCAATCCGAATGTCTTCATACAAATGTATGTATGTATGTATGTATGTATGTATGTATGCATGTATGTATGTATGTATGTACGTATGTATGTGAAATTGAATGATATCTCTGAGCAGGCACACTGTATAATAGGCCTGTAAACTGTAAAGGTATACAGATCAACATACTCACGCGGATCTGCGGACGCCCCAACAATCTACGAAGTGCAGTCCGGCGGCCTCTCGCGCTTTGATTTCCAGTCCGACCTCAATCAGGTTTGAAAGCCCCAAAGCCTGCCGCCCCGAAGCCCTCAACTCTACCCTTAAAGCCTGAAGCCCCAAACTGAACCCTAAAGCCCTAAAGCCGAACCCATCATGAAACCCAAACCCCTAGCCCTAAAAAGCCCTAAAAACCCACCCCATCAAGCCCTGAACTGCAGGCCAAGGCCTAAGAAACCCAAATACCCTATAGAGCCCTTATCTACCCCTTATATAGTCTCATAAAGCCCCTATCCCTAAACCCTGAACCCTAAACCCTAAACCCTAAACCCTAAACCCCAAAGGTCCCTGTAAGGGCATGCCAAGAGCTCCACGCGCGCGCGAAGAGCTCAGGAGGCGGCCAGGCGCCGAAGAAGGCTTCGAAGGAGAGGTCCTCTTGAGGGGTAGGGTTTAGGGGTTCAGGGTTCAGGGTTTAGGGGTTTAGGGTTTAGGGTTTAGGGTTCAGGGTTCAGGGTTCAGGGTTTAGGGTTCAGGGTTGAGGGTTGAGGGTTTAGGGGCTTAGAGTTTTTTGTATGGAGCACCTGTTTTCGCCTAGCAGTTAAGGTTGACAGTGTAGAAGTGCCAAGTCTTCTGAACTCACATATAACCCTTACTTCTCTATTTAAAGCGGCTTGCAAACAACATCTTGGGACAAGAAGTACAAACTTAAACTTCCTCCTGATTTGCACTCACCTCACGCACAACCGCGGACAGCCACAGAAAGCACAAGTCCTCAACATCCCCAAATCCAATATTTTCTCGGACGGAGATGCCTCGTTACAGGAACCCTCATGGGAATTCAGGTTTGGGCTTGGGGTTTAGGGGGCCTGGAGCAAGGTAACAGACCCTCGAGTGACTCTGGGCGGTTGCATGTGAATGTTTCGTTGTGCAGGCTCAAAAGTGCACGAAACTGTGGGGTCAGCACATACTTGTTTTGGGACGAGTTATAAGGAAGAGCGCGATCCTCGAGAGGGGTCACTTGGAAAGGGCATTTTGTGCGTTTTACAGTGGTTGTTGTAGGACATCGTGAGGCAAGCGTGGAGGGAAAACTTTGCGTGGATGACGATCTCACACTTGGACGGGCAGTGGGTACTGGAAACAACCCTCAAAGAATATCAGCATTGACATAACATCACAACATCGCGAAAGTACTGCAAAAACCGAGAAAAATGGATGTGCTCTTAACAAGTACGTCATCATGCCCCCCCCCCCCGGGCTAAAACCTGGAAATTCCACGGAGTCCCTGGTGCCTCTGTTACCTAAAACATAAGTAGAAAAGATCTTCGGGTAGGTTACAGCAGATTTCGTTTAGGGACTGTCAGGGGGACCTGTGCTACTTCTTCCGACCCCCACACTACCTGGTTTGATGGGATCCTTCGGTTTGGGGTTCAGCGCCTTTAGGGTTTTTGGGCCTTTGGTTCGCACGTTTCAGGTTTCCGGCGTTTTGGCTTAGTGCTGCGGCGTCCTTTTGGAGGAAGCTGGCTGCCTTCGCTTCGGCCTCGTCGTCGCTGAGGTCCTCGCTGTGCGAATTCTTCAGCATGGGCTGGGGTTTGAGTTTGAGGCTTTAGAAAGCTCAGCAGTTTAGGGTTCAAGGCTTTGACACAAAACTGGCATGCAGCAGTAACTGCTGAGTGTTGAATCGCGCTCCTTCCGCTTGGAACCTCGACCGGCGGATGATTTGTAGCCTGGAACCTGATGCTGTCAGCAATCGGCAAGCACCACAAAACACAGCCCAAGCAAACAGAGATGATGAAAAAGGTCTTCTGCCAGGAAGGTAAGGTCCCTGCGCCACTGTGACCTCGCTGGTCGTTTTTCGTGATGAAGCCTTCCCTGAGTGGCAAGCCGCTGAGTCTCCCGTCCTAGCTTGCGCAAAGCAAGGGAGTTTCAGAAAAGACGGACTCCCATTATAGAGCTCTAAACTTCTAAATGATAAAATCTTCGTGGGACCCCGAAACGACGTACTCTCGTAGGCCCATGTCGAAACGTGGCACATGCCCAAGCCAAACGACTCAGGTCGACACGTCTTGGCAACGCCAGGCTTATAGGCGTCCTTGCCTGTCCTGCAGAGCTCTGCACCGAAATGCGGCAAGGGCTCATGTTGCGAGGGATCCCATCCTCAAACCGTACTTCTGCTCGACCACGAAACCGCCGTCCTGGAGCTGGAGGAGGAGGGAGGGTCTGCATCTGATGTTCTGGCAACCGCGCTTTGACGGAAGCCACGACATAAACTTCACGAACTAGCAGCGAAACCCTACCTTTTCCGCAAGGGGTTTCACCAAAAAAAGGGTTCCTCTTGAGATTGTTGGAAAGCCCCAAACCCACTCCCAGGCAGAACCAGGAAGCCCCACAAGGACTTGGAGGTTTGACGAGCCTGTTCGGAAGTTTCACAGCTGTCCAGCCCTTCCAAGAAACCTTGTAGTGGCAAAGATGTCTGTAATCGCTGAAGCTCATGTCGATGACCTCAGAAATCTGAAGCACACGTGAAAAGGAGGATCCAAGCACAGCTTGCCCAAGGGCGCCGGGCATCTGTGTTGTTGGCCAAGACCTCCCAGCTCCTCAAGTCTCGATTGAAACCGCATGTTCGAGCAAACTGTGAGCACAACTTGGTCCCCGTGCCCAAGACACCAAGTAGTGGAAAGCTTTCCCCGCGGGAGCAGCTGTACCCAGCCACACCTGCCAGGCTTCGAAGTCACTCGCTGATTTACAGGAAGGGGGCTCCTTCCCTATTCGAGCAGTGGGGAAGCGACCCTAAACGTGGAGGGTTCCGTAAGCCCAGGTCAGGGTCACTTCTTCTTCCCAGTCATCGCCCACAGGAAGGTGGTGCTGGCCTCCGAAGCACAGAGAGAAGGCACTCAGGGTGTCGTTGTGGCTCGACCGCTTGGTCTGAGCCCACAGCATTGGTCTTGCACATGGCCTGCCATCGCGGGCCGAGCTGTGCCTAAGCCGTGTCACAGGATCTCAGACACTGCTGGGGATGAGAGTGAGTCGTGAGCATCATCTCTGAGACTAATATGTACCCTGACACTCTCTGCCCCGAAGCGTCCCTGATCCGTGACTTAGCACCCGACGATGACTTTGTCGCGATCGGGGTCTTCGGGTGCCTGGGCACTGCAGGGCGAGGGCCAGCAACTGGCAGGGAATATGCTGTGGCGTGTGATGAAGTCTATATAAACTCACCCAAACAAGGCCCACGCCTGCATCTTCACAAAGGAGGAAATGATGATGGCATGGTGCAGATGGCAGGACACAGGAACTACCTAAGGAAACCCATCGTGCTAGTCTGACCTTTGAGGATCAAGCTGTGCTCCGGGAGCTCTGTACTTTTACGACATTGGGCCGCGTGATCCGAAATCGAGTACATCATGCATCTGATATACCGAACAAGCGGGAACTGCAGGGCATGTTTCTCAGGTTGAGAGAAGCCAAGCGGAACATAGCCTCGGACCGCAAGTGCATGTCAGTGCTCACAAGGGCATCGCTCTTCGCCCCCGTTTTCCGCACGTCGCGGCGCTAGCTGCGTTCGCCTTTGGGCCTGGCAGCGCCGTGTACACAACCACCTACAGAGGATGGCCAAGAAAACCCCTCTCTGAGACCGGCTCCCCACGATTTCCCCCGAACTCCGTAGCAGCCTCGCAGTCCAGCGGAAGCTCGAAAATCCAGTAGTTCTTGCAGGTCTATATTGGGGTCCTGTCTGTACCTTCTGAGAACCCAAGTAAACCGCCCGACCTTGCTACTCTCCACCTCACTCTGTGTCGAAGCCTAACTCGATTCTACACACGAACTCCGTGAGACTGGAGCTTCTATCTATCGGAGCTGCAGGGCTGAAGGACAGCAGCTCGTCCCCGTCTCCCCCTAAGTCCACAAGGCAACCCTAAAGAAGGAGTGGAGGGCTCTGTTGCTTTGAGGTGAAGCCTGCCAAGCTTCTCTTTCAACTTTACCACCACCCTCTGTTGCGAAGTGCAGGGTATAAACAGCAAAACTGGTTTCAATACAAGCAGGCAGCTCATGGCAGAATCATGATGCGAGCGATCATGATCTGATAATTGTGCAAAGCTTGATGAGGAGGGGGGCAACGAGTAATTGTGCTCAGATTCTGACCATTGCCACTTGCCGTCTTCTGGAAGAGGCTGAGGTGGTTCATCCTCGCATCTGGCGAAATCTCATCCCCATCTGGGACCCTAATCCCTAAAGTCCTAAAGAACCTGAACAGCCAGAAATGGCATCGCGACGCATGCAGGAGGCAAATTGCGACAGTTGGATTTGGGCCCTGTCCCGCTGCGACAGTGGTATCTCATCCTTCTTCGCCTGCCGCCCAAAATGTCGATACATAGACTGCCGCGCAACACAAGTGGGGATCATACAGACTTCGCCGAGGAATGCCGAGGATTGAAAAGCTGCCCGATTGCGACAAGTTTCTCGCCTGGACCCTAAGGCACTTGGCCTAAAGCCTATTCAGCCCCGGGAAAAAACATCGCAAAACACTAAACCCGAAACCCCTAACCTTCAAATCCCTGGATCCAAAAAACTCCGAGAGCCTGAAAAGCCCTAACAGCCCTCAAAGGGCTGAACCCACTTGCATCGCAGGTTTCTGCAGGCCTTCTTCCCTGGCTCAGGAACGCTCCGAGCCAGCTCGTACTCGACCTGTCAGTATGATACGTATGAGTAAATATGAAGTACATATATATATATATATACATACACGTGTATATATATATATATAGAGAGAGAGCTTCTTTCTCGAGTTTCGCAAGATGTCTATGTTTCGCAATGCTTTGCAAGGGCTTTTGTATGGGTTCCGACAGTGTGTTTAAGGGTTCCCTGTGGTTTCATGAGAGTCATATAAGGGCTTCATATGGTGTATCTTCAAATCAGGGGCGCTTAGAAGGATTTTCTGTAGTTCTTACAAGGATGCGTGGATTGTCATTGGGTTTGATAAGGTGCGCTGACATGTTGAGTCCAAGACCGCCCAGGACAACACTGAGTCTTCAAATGCTAAACCCCAAACCCGAAAACCCTCCAAACACCCTAAGCTTCACCAAGCCTGTCGCACAGTGAGTAAGGACAAAGATGGCATGTGCCATCCGAGGAGCTTTACAAAGCTGGGGAACCAATGCAGAGCTAAACTACCAGAATCCTTCGTACCAGTCTCAGCAACCTCAAGCAAACAAACGCTGGTTTCAAGAAGCCCCTTAGCATCCCCACACAATCCTAATCTTGGCACAACCTCCCCAAAACATCCCAAAACCTCAAAACCCCAAAGCCCTAAAGCCTAAACCCAAACTCTAAACCGCCAACCCAAAGCCCCAAGTTCAAGGAAGACCCTCGTAGACGTCATCTCTTTGAGGCCAGGGGCCCAGGAGAGCACCCCCTGTGCCATGGGATCCTCCCGAAGCGGAGGTGAAAACTGAGGCCGGTTAGTCCCGACAGATCGAGTCTATGTAGGGTTTAGGGTTGAGGGTCTAAAGAGTCCCGATATGCATATGATAGTATAAAATGCCGCAGAAACTCACTCCGATCTTTGTTGAGGATGCTTTGTGGGGTTAGGAAAGCTTTGTCGAGCTTTTCAAGAGGCTCCACCTGCAGTCCTAAGGCCTGAGGAAGGTCCCACAGCTTCGAGCCAATTTGCGTTTTGGGTCAAAGGTCCAACTTGCACCTCCAGTGGAGGTTGCATGAATCTTGCTGCACCACTTCCGCGGTCCTCTGGCAGAAGGTGGGGGCGTTGTGCTAGCCGCTCATGGCACCGTTGTGCGACGTCCGGCCACCACCTCACTGCACAAGGCAACCGGGCTTGAGGTTAGATTTGGGAGCACAATCCGGTTTCAGCTCGCTCCAGTTGCAAGCAGGGTGTCTTCATTCTCTATCTCAGGACTCTTGAACAAGTGTGGACACCGGGGTCGTGTCCGATGCCTGTTGCTCCGTGCTCCAACTCGCTTCGCGGCATGATTTTCGAAGGCTGCACTTTGATAAACTGATCCGAACTATGCCATGCAAGATCACCCGAGTTTATGACTCCAGGGCGTAAGGTGAAGCCCTTCAGTCAACATGCCGAGAAATCCAAGCCAAAAGAAGGTAAGGTCCTGAACCCCGGTTGGAGCCGTGGTGTTAACAGCAGGAAATCAAGTCCTATAACTGTGCTTGTCTGGAGGAGTGTAGTGCGCATTGGCAGCCCATCTAACGCACTTGGGTTGACTGCCAGCCTGCGAAATCGCCCCAAAAGTAAATGGGTACAGCTTGTCAAGGCCTGAGATGTAGCCTTCAGACAAAACCGGATTTTGGGTAATGATTGTGCTCTAAGGTAAACATTCAGACTCGTTTTTTCGGGACTGTAGTTCAAGGTCTTCTTCGATAGAGACCTGCCATGCATCACCTGACTGGGCCTCGGGCGCATCGGAAAACAAACCGCTGGGTTCCTGTGCTCGGATGCTTGCCGCAATCTAACTCCATGAGCACGTCCATAGTCCAATCCCCAAACTCGTTCCATTGCCCATGTCGGCAAGCTGACGGCCTCGTCACCCGGCGTGGTCGACGCAGCGGCGTCCGAATCTGTCGTCCACTCGAACAGAAGTCTAGGATGCCGCACAGATTGGAAGGCGTGTTTCTGGTGACGAATAGATACCTCTGAAGGCCCATACAAGGGCTTATCCTGACTTGCCACCCTACTTTTAGCACGATTCTACATCCTGCTTGCCGCTTGTGGGGGCCTTCTTCCGCTTTTGCGGTGCTCCTGAGAGAAGATGGCACTTGCTCTCCGGAGCTCTGACAGTCGCGCATCTGAGGAGCAGTCAGTGGTCTGGCAGGCTGCTGGCCTGGATGGAGACAGTAAACCAAAAAGCAGTACAGTAGCTGAGATGGGCCTCCTAGACCTCCTCATAGTCTTGTAGATTCTTAGTTGTGCAATATAGGCTTCACCGACCATTCTTGTCGTCTTTGCCCTCTGTGAGCACAACTCAAACGCAGCAGCATCCTACGCGTCAGCGAAGTGAGAGCTGGTGGTGGCATCCCCTGATACCCTTGCCGCCTTGCCTGCTGCCAGAATCGGCGAAGGACCGACACACCCATGGAGGCTGGCCGCGGGCCTCTGACTTGAATCCGAAATCGTGGGGCATCCACTCTTCAATACGTCATTGTTGCGGATTGGCTCCGGAGCCGCATCCTCATGGGAGGGACAGCCTGCAATTCATCTATACACCAAAGGGCTATATATATATATATATACATATATATATATATAGATGTATATATATATATATATATATATAGATATAGATATCTATATTATATATATATATATATATATATACCTGAGGCAGATGTTTGACGACCTGTTTGGAAGCTGCTCCTCACGTGCCGCAGTGCTTTGTGAAAGGGTGGCATGCTTTTCATCATCGCCGAGGTCCGGCAGTTGAAAGCAGCGCTGAGCACAAGCTGTCTTGCAGGCACGGGGCAGCCGGTAGGTGCGGGCCAGTCGCCACATGGCGAACCACCTTTGCGTTGAGCCCTGAATCATCTGACGACTGCTTGCAGGGTTGGGAACGCTCCAACGAGATGCTGTGTATGCTTCAGAAGGTCGCCCATGGAATGCATCGGATTGAATCAGTGCTGAGTCGGCTTGTATATACTGGCTTTTTCGGCCTTTCAATCTGGTCTTCAGTCTTGCAGAGCTGCGCACAGAACAAGATTGGTGTGATGCTTGGCACGGCAGGCCCGGCGAAACGGTCAAGGCCCTCTTATGGATGCAATTCGCTCCATATTTGTGCTCTCGGCAGACGCGTGAGCTTCCAGACTCCACATGGCCCGTCTGCCCTCAGCTACGAAGCAATTTAGAACCGTCCTCCTTCAGTAGGTCGAATCTCGAGCAGTGTTGGTGACAGTGACAGGAACGGGCTTGCTGTGAGCAGAGGTTGCGGAGTCCGAGGTGCATTAACGATACCGACAGCGGCTGTTCAGAAAGGCACCGTCAGTCACTCATGATTCGCCTTTTCCGGCCTTTCCTTTTCCTTTCTTGCCTGAGCTGACGCATGGGCAAAGGGCGTAAACCATCGGAGCGACATCATCGAGCCTCCTTTTCCTTCTCCTTTGGCTTCTCTACCATCACCTTTGCCATCCTCATCATGACCATACTTGCCTTTGCTCTTACCTTCGCCCTTCTCCTTTCCTTCATCTTTGCCCTTGCCAGACTTGCCTTCTCTGGGCTCTTTTCCTTTGGCATCCATACCCTCCTTACCTCCCTTGCCTTCTTTTGAATCCTTACCTTTGCCTTCCTTCCCATCTCTTTCCCTGTCCTTGCCTTCGGACCCAGCCTTACCCTTGTCCTTGCCGCTGCCCTTCGAACCTTCCTTTCCGTTCTCCTTGCCACTCTCCTTTCCATTCTCTTTCCCACCACCTTTCCCGCCACTTCTGCTGTCCTCCGGCGCATGGGCTTGTAAGATCTACTTCTTGACAAAAGGCTCCCAATTAGATCCAACTAGCAATAACCCTAAACCCTAAACCCTAAGCCCTAAACCCTAAGCCCTAAACCTTAAACTCTAAACCCTAAGCCCTAAACCCTTCCCGGAGTCACTTATGGCGTTTGGAAGATCCGGGACCAGGACTGAGATTCCGGCATATCCATGATCGTCTCCACCTCGCCGGAACCGAGGCATCGATATCGGAGGGCCCCCGCTAGAAAAGAAGCATCGTAACGGTTTAGGGTTTAGGGTTTAGGGTCGTAGGCAAACCAGAAGGTGCTAGTGGCCTTTGGATGCTTTGCCATCTTTGCCATATGAGCCTTCTCTGCCTCCCTTGCTCTTCCCTTCCTTGCCCTCCTTCCCTTCCTTCCCTTCCTTGCCATCCTTTCCTTTGCCCTCCTTTCCTTCCTTTCCATCTTTTCCTTTCCAGCCTCTACCGAACTGCTCATCCCCCTTCCTGCGCCAAGTCAGGGCGACAGCTGAAAGCATCAGCCACTACGTCTTCTGCTCTCTGTGCCTCGTCTTCCCTCCCTCGTCATCTTCGCCCTTCCCTTCGCCCTTGGACTCTTTGCCTTCCGGGCTCAACACGAGTGAAGCCGAAGCTCTGGGAGCAAGACCCTGCAGGGCCTTTCTCCCCTTTCTTTCCCTTACCCTTGGTGTTCGCCACACCTCGCGTCAGGAACCGTGGCGTTCCTGGGGCATCTTGCAAAGAGAACGAAAGACCCGAGACTTCGGCCGTCAAGCTGGTCGAAGGACTGCTGGATGGCATGCTGCTCCTAGGAAGAAGCTCGCAGCGGGGTCGAGCTCAACATCAGGGCGTTAGGGGGCTTTCGGGTGTTGTCAGAGGGCTTTGGGGCTTAAGGTGCCGAGATCCGGGCCTCGTCCATGTCTTTGTACACTGGGAGATACTCGCGATGAACCGAGATCATAAGCTTGGCGTCCTCGACCTGGCTCGCACTCGCTTTCTGGCCCGGAGACGAACCTTAATGTAGGGGCCTAAATAATTAGAATAGGATTTAAGGGGGTCCTTAGTATAGTTATAGCATGATCGGCCCCGAAACCCTATTCTAATTATTAACGTCTCTAATAACACGTTCCGGGCCTGGCTGCGCAAGCCGCAGAGCTCCAATGTCTTGGACTTGTCATCGTATCTGCATCGAGGGCTGGATTGAAAGTAGGTCCAGAAATTCTGATGACTGCCGCACTTCTCGTGAAGCCCGGCTAGATAGGCAAAATGAAACTATAACGGTCTGAATTCAAGATCGGGGCCAGCAAACAAGTTTCAGCAGATGGTTCTGGCGGCAGCATTTGCCATTCGCGATGCCTAGCGTGGTGGAGCTTTGTCTTGGAGGCGATGTCCTGCTAACGAGCATGTCGGAGCAGACAGACGCGGATCAACAGACATGACCAGGTTGTGGTGTTGCAGAAATATCAACTACCTGTCTCGACATGATCAGCAGGTGCATGTTTTCTGCAATGCTGCTGTGCTTTACTTGGCGCCACCGCACAGTACCAGTACCAAATTTAATCTCTGCGACACCACACAAGCATTGAACACCACAAAATTTCAAGTGAAGTCTGCCGCGTCTGCAGGGTCCGTGATGGTCTGGTAGCCCTTACCCAGGATCCATCCAACATGCTCGCTGTCCACCGGAATTGACACCTCTCACAAGGACGTTGCACAGCCGCTAGATCAAAGGGACATGCAACAGACCAGCAGATTTGCCGAGGACTGCGCGGTGATGAACTCCAGTTCATCACGTGCCGCTTTCACAGTCTCTGGTGTCTGCCCACACACGGTCACCCTGGCAGCTGGACTTCGCTGCAGACACAGAGGAAGTCACTGCCAAGACGATGCAAACGAGTTTGTGAAAGGAACGTTGAACACGGCGTGAGGACAGATTACAAATTGCTCCGAAGCACTTCACAT